GCCTTGTTTTATAAAAACTATCGATCCAGTACATAAAAAATTCTATAAAAACTACATTTACACTATATTATTGAACTATATACTTAGTTCATGACATAAAAAAACTGAATACACTTGTAAATAGAATACATGGATTTAACACATCACAAGAAATATTTAAATAAAATTCTCACTTAAAATTTTGAAAAACTTAGTGTTGCGTCTTTTGCACGCGAGATCTTACACAACCGTCAATAATAGCAGATATTCAAAAAACATCTTTGATTAAATATACAAGTATTTCGTCTTCAAGTTTTTGATTTTATAAGGAAAAAACACATGCCTGATGATGAATAGAGGACTATTCGTAAGTACTAGCATTTTAACATCAAATAAACTGAAAGCTACAGACATCAAGTTTATCGACGAGGATCACTTCACACTATGGATTAACAGTATTTTAATGCATATATTATGTTTCTAGCGATGGATGTCACCAATAATCGCATTAATACTTCTGATACTTGTATATATATATATAAGTACAAATTGAGATCTCCTGGCTACTGGTGTATTTTTTATAGAAAACATTAAAATTTCCCTTTCTTTCTGCCGTGCATCGACAGCTTAGGGGTAGGATTTCTGACTGATGCCAAATCGGTAGAGTTTCAATCCCAGCTTCAAGCAATCAGATGTCTAGCCACACTGTGGATGACTAGATAGATAGATAGATAGATGCATGTTTCATTAAATAATATAAAGAAATTTTGTCTATTTATCTTAAGTAAATTCCTTTCATATTGTCTGATAAGCTTAATAGCATTGTCATTGAAAGATGAAAGAAAAACACCATATTGATACATGTTTTTTAATCCTATCTAAGCTTTCGGCTTACATAAGCCATTACATTTCAATATATTAAACAATACATGGACAAAACAATAATGTTAGTCTGTTTTTGTTGCATGAAAGATTTTCAAGATATATATTAAATAGTGCAGCATATATAATATTATAAAGAGGTCATCATACAAAGAATTAATCAATAAAGTTAATGTAATTAATGGTGAAATCTCTTCACTAACAAATTGAATAAACTATTAACCTACTAACTATTTGTTGAATGACGCAATCCTTATGTTTAAAATTTTAAGATGGATTTGATGTTCCAGTGTTGCTAGTACTTTTAAAAATCATCACATTTTCATCATCAGTCTTTAATATTTTTTCCAATTTGGTTAACTCCAAGATGAAATAAATGTATTGTAGGCCAAAAGAGATTTTTTTTAAGAATGTGTTATTTATTAATGGTTACATAATTTTGGAATGTGCAGTGTCACAACGCTAGAGTTGTATTTCAAATATTATTAATTCGTTGTATGATTACCTGTTTATAATGATAAATATAAACAACATCTACCTGCGCTAATGCAAATTTCTTCAGTAAAATGAATTGGAGCCCTCTGACCGATTGGCATTTGTTTACATTCATAAAAACAATACGCTAGAATTAGCTGTTTCTCTCTACCGAATGATGATAGCTTAGTAGTAGAAACTGTGACTGACACCAAATCAGTCGGGTTTCAGTTCTGGCTTGAAGCATTTGGATGTCTAGTTGCACTGAGGAGCTGTGATATGGTGAAACAGTACTGTCTGCAAATGACACACACACACATATATATATATATATATATATATATATATATATATATATATATATATATATATATTAATATATTAATGCATGTTTCATTAAATAATATAGACAAGTTTTGTCTATTTATTTTAAATAAGTTCCTTTCTTATTGTCTGATAAGCTTAATCACATTATCGTTGAAAGACAAAAGGAAAACACTATATTGACATGTTTAAATCCAATCTAAGCTTTCGGCTTACACAAGCCATTATCATAGATGACAATTTCAATAAATCAAACAACGGACGAAACAACAACATGCATTAATGAAAAATTGTTGCCTAAATATACACAAAAGATATATATATTTTACTTAAAGCACACAGCATTATTCATAAGAGTATTACCTCCCATTCTACTGCATATTTGTTTTTAGATAGCTCTGTTGCTTTTACTGAAGATAATTTTTGCTGTTGCCATAAAACACAACTATGAAATTTAAATGCACTATTTTTTTTTAGCCACAAGTCACCTACATTGGTGGGACAAACATTTGACTTGATAAAAAAGTCAACTTCCGAGTTCTAAAGGTTAAAACATTACCCAGTTAGGGTTAGTACTACTACTAGTTATCATACTCCTACCACCGAAACCACAGTGTATAACTGAAATATCAACATTGAGATAGTAAAAGATTAGTACGAGGTCACTTAGCAGGATGACCAAGCTCAAACAAATCCATGTACCAAAGTGTAAACTATTCAGAGGAGAACTTGAAAGCACATGTTCTAGTCTGACGCATTTGCTGTAAATTGGTCGGAACGAAAACAAGTCACAGCATCAAAGATACAGATTTAGAACATAATTTAGTTACAAGGATTTTCACTATCTTGCTAATGACAACAGACAAGTTATAATAAACAGTGGTAAATAAAGCCTACAGCTTAGCCACACCCATACAACGCCTGGGTCCCCTGATTGTGTAATTATCAATCTGACATGTTTATCAAGACACTTGATTAAAATACAATCATTAATCCTTCCTTTTCTTTTTATTGCATGGTTTTGCTCTGGCTAAAATTTTACAAAATAGAACACTTTTTCATAATATCAATAACACAAAATGAAACCTTCTTTGGGAATAGCATTACTGCACACAATTTCTGATTTAGTGAGCAAATGTTTATATATATATATATATATATATATATATATAAAAAAACAACATTCAAATGACAATGCACTCTCAAAATTTTACTGGGAAATCAAAATGAATAACTATACACCAGTAGTAAATTGGAATTTTGTTGCCAAAACTACACACTTTTCCGGACATACTAACCAACGTAACCTGTGTTTGCTGGAAAAAAAGATCCATCCTCAAAAATATTAACAACCCCAACCTGCTGAACAAATGCTGTGAACTCATGGCAGCTTGTACCCATAAAAAAAAACTCACCTAAAGTATTTTGATTCTGGATAAATATTTTTACCCAATTTCAACTGCCCATTAAATATTTTAGGTTAATTACTTATTAGCCCTGTTTAAGCATCCACTAATATATATATATATATATATATATATAAAACCGATTTAAAATATGGTCTCTTTGCTACACAGGAATTACCATGTTTCAAAAACTGAAGCTAAAAACTTCAAATTTAATTATATGGCTAAATTAAAAGCATTAGTTCTGTTTCATCTTCAAGGGGTCAAAATTCGCTTGAAATTATTAGTCATGCAGCTCAGTTATTTTTCTTTTAACTGAAGAATTTGTTTCTTGGAACAAAATATGACACTAATAAGTGTTTCCATCCATCCATCACAATTATTTTGATATCAATATCTACTAAGCATATATATATATATATATATATATATATATATATATATATATATATATATATATATATATATACATACATACTACTTGTGCTAAGCTTCATCATTTTTTCTTAGTCTTACCTAAAATTTTGTTTTACATTACCTTTCTGTCAATTATTCTGGTAATCTACTATTTATCCACCTCTAATATAATCTACGAAGGCCACCCATACTGCAAAATATATACAACTATCTATACAATCACTAATGTTATAGTCCTAAGCCTGGTTACTCAAAGAAAGAAGTACTTTGTTTGGCTATTCTTTTGTGAAAGCAGAAATCAACTGGCTGGAAAGAGAACCTCTCAACCCCACTTTACTCTTCAACCTTTGACCTATAGTCATGTCAAAAGTAATCTCTATACAACCATGAAATATAAATTATCATCAAGAGACATGAAAGTTTCATTCTAGACCTTTAGTCTAAAAACATTTACTAAGCTTACTCTGGTGCAATAAGCACCCAGTGGGGAAGAATAATTAGAATAGTCGTGTTTGACAAATACATTGTGCGATGGGTAAATTGTCACAATTTTATATTTTTAATTTGGCACATGCACAGTGTTTGTTTTTTATTCTGTCAACTGTACAGTATAGTAGGGTCATTTGGGTACAGTCTGGGTAAAAAAAAAAGAGCACCATGACACAATTCACTCCACCAGAAATTTGGAAACAGCATGCTATACCGCTTGTTATTCTTGACATAAGCTCCAATATGAACATTTGGTGTCAATCTGAAGACAGTGCAGAGGATTTGGAAAGTGTTGAATGATTCTAATGGTGATTAAGAAGGTGTTTCAAGTGATCACTAGTGATGACGTCATTATGCCTCCATTCATCTTCCTACAGGGACACAATCTCAACATGGAGGCCTACATCAATGCCTTGAGGAGGTAGTGCAGCCCAGGGTCAAGAGGGTGGCTACAGGACTCTGCACCATGCCACACAAGCATGGATAATCAAGGGGTTTGCAGTCTGGGGGATTAGGAGTTGGAGCACAGTTGAGAGAGAGACCAACAAAACCCCTTGTAACACCAAAGATGTACTGAAGGCAAGAATTATGGCAGCATTCACCAACTTAAGAAGACCATCCAGAAGAGTTGCAGGAGATTCTGAAGTCGTCTGGAGGCTGTGATTGAAGCCAGTTGCAATTTTATTGAATAAATTTACTCATTAGTATTTCAAGATATTTTTGTATAATTTTGGTAAATATACCTGTTAAAATGAGATGTCAGCGTTATTTGCATTTTTACATAATTTAGACAACAATTTATCCGCAGCACCCTGTATTTGTAGCTAAAATTTCAGTTGTATCTCGTCAGAATCATTCTAAACATGTAAACAAAAGATAATAATACTTTTGCGAACATCAGTTTTTTGTTTCTCTTTAAATTCTCAGATAGTAACGAAACCCATCACAACAAAGGTGCAAATGAGCAAACTAACAAATTTTATTTTTTTTTAACTGGTTATAAAAAATAAAATTAAACAAAGATATGAATTAAAAAAAAGAAAAACTTACTGAAAATTTCAGAGAATTCTCGTAAGTGTAGAGAATACTGGTGTCAAAAAGCATCATTTTGTTCTGGCTGAGGGCCAGCACACAATTTCTCATTCGGCAAATCACTTCACGGTCAATGCGGGATACAGGCTACAAAGGAACAACAGAAATCTTTATTAATATGCACAGGCAATAAATTTATGCAAGCTCATATGAACAACAGAGATTCAACATTGCTTCAATTTTCCTGCTCCATTTTCCAAATGTTTAGGCCATAATAACTGATCAAATTATGCACAGAGACAGAAGAAGCCATATCAAGACCAGGGATGTTATGCTGGCTAAATAGGTTAATATTTGATAAAGCTAATGGAGAAGAGAAAAGTATGGCTTTTTATGGTTTTTATTAAAGTATATGAATGAAAGCACAATCAAATCGTTTTTTTGGGGGCGGGGGGGGATTATGATATAATGGCAATTTTAATACCATTGTAAACAGGAGATTGAGAAACATTTGGATGCACAAAGTCTCTTACTTACAAATATAATGGATTTCAGAAGGAAGTGATGTTAACGTCAGTAAATTATCTTTTTTCAAAAGTGAATTATGTGTATTAACAAAAGTTATGGTGCAATGCCTACTCTTATTTTAAAAAATATATATGACAACAATTGCTGAAATTATACAAACCAAACCAAACCAAGAAACCATCTCAAAAATATTTTATCAGTTCTTGGGAAGGTGGGTTAGGCTAAGAACTTTTCAACACCACCTTGTATTTATAACTGTATAGATATACATAATGAAAAATGTGCATGCATATATGTTGCACATATATGGATGGTATTCGCTTATCTCTTCATTTAATTCATATATATATATATATATATATATATATATATATATATATATATATAAAAAAAGTACAGACGATAATTAAAATCCATTCGTTATAATTTATTTCATGAAGATATAAATATTCATCTCTTCAGACCAAAAGTTTTTTTAATAAATGGAGTCAATTTATCCAGATGAAAGGAAAAAAGGAGAGGAAAAAAAAAAAAAAAAATTTTAATATTAAAAGAGGAAGAAAAAAAGAAAAATTTCAATAAAAGTTTTAAAAAGAATTGGGGGCGTGGGGAGATGATTATTATATTGCTCTGTTATTTACATTGAGCTCTTTTTGGATTAATGTCCTCTTTGGAATTATCCCTATTAATTATTAATGTTTGTATATTTAGGCAGCAACCCTTCTTTCATGCAAGTTTCATTGAATATCACAGACAAGGTGCTTTGATTTAGCTTTCTATACAATTTCTCATGTGATCTCATTTTTTTTTCTTTTCAGATGATAAATTATACAAAAACTGTCCAATTGTTCTTTTTATCCAAGCACTTTCGGCTATACCTTTAGCCATTTTCAAGGTTGGAATATATTAACTGTTAACAAGAAATAGATTGTTGTATGTGTCTATATAATGTTTTTATTTTCAAAACACGGTCAAGATATTGTGTCCATGTTCATAGTTGATATTATAGAGTGTTGGTTTTTTTGTTTTTATTAATAAGGCTTCCATTTTTTTTTTTAGCCTTTTTTCACATGTAGACGATGCTATTATATTTGTGTTATCAATAGTTATGTTATGAATAGGGTACAGTAGGTCTCCATGAGTATTTAAATTTATGTCTTAAAATATATATATATATATATATATATATATATATACACACACACGCACATTGCTAACCAAAGGTTTGTTCAGATGCCAAATAAACCATTGTTTTTAGTGCCTCATTTGCTTCCTGTTAAGGGGCCTCCTCAATCGAGGCTTGTCTTTTTCTTTAAACAGTGAAATTAATAACAGATAGCAACTCAAATACAAGTACCAACTAAAATTAATAGTGAATTAAAAAGAATAAAATCAAAAAAAAAAAAAATCACTGTTATTTACATTTTGGGTACAAAACTGAAGCTATGTAATAAAGACTCATAAATGTACCAACAATAAATGTGCATTCCTTAAATAGGTTGTTCAAACCTTGCTCTATCAAGATGGCCTCCCATGGTTAAGCCAGTAGCAGCACATTTCAGCTATAGAAGCAGTTTCACTGATAAAAACAAAGGGATGCGTGTTCAATTCCTGTAAGGAAGTACAATATTTTTCTTTAGTAGGTCTCAATGATCTTTGCCGGTTGTTATTTCCTTGTTTAAAAAAAAAAAAAAAAAAAAAAAAAATGGGGATAACAACTAAAACACATGAACCCACTAAAAATAATATTTATAGTACAGTGTAACTCGGATATAAGAGAGTTGTCGGGACTGGAGAAGAAGTCTCTTATATCCGGGTTTGGTCCATTTTGTTTAGGTAAGTATGTGCTCTAATTTGGGACCAGAGAAAATCTCTCTTATATGCAGGTTTCTCTTATATCCGGGTTTGGTCTATTTTGTTTAGGTAAGTATGGGCTCTAATTTGGGACCAGAGAAAATCTCTCTTATATGCAGGTTTCTCTTATATCCGGGTTTGGTCTATTTTGTTTAGGTAAGTATGGGCTCTAATTTGGGACCAGAGAAAATCTCTCTTATATCCGGGTTTCTCTTATATCAGGGTTACACTGTAATAAGATTTCTAAAGAGTTAATGAATTTATTTTTAATCTGAATTTTTTATTACTTCAAATGTAATTTTCAGTGGATACCCTTGTTTGAAAATATAAAAATAATAAAATATTAGAACATTCTTTGTCTGGTCTATTTAAATATATATTCATATTCACATGAGAGGCACTAAAATATTCTTAGTCATACCCACTTCAAAATCAGTCCAAATATTTTTTTTTTTTAGCAATTCCTTCTTGGTTAGGCTGATAACTTTTCAATTACCTCCTCACACATACACTATATATATATATATATATATATATATATATACACACACACACACACACTATTGTAGGGGGTGTATATGTTAAATGCTGCATCTCTTGCAAGCATTAAAAAGGCCAGCAAATTGTGACATTTTTTTTTCTTCCCAGTATTAAATTTTTTTTCTCATTTTTTCCCTCTTTCCATTTTAGTAGACTGAATTTCAAACTTCCCTTTTTTTCCTGCCCCATTCCATTTAGAATAAAACTGAACAAAAGGAAAACAATTCTGGAATAGTTAATGTACCCTAATCTGCATAGAGAAATAATTGCATTCAAGAAAGCACAAGGGTGTAAAGTGGGACGCAGGGGGGGGGATAGATATTTACCCAGGTAATTTTGCAGTTTTTTTTTTATTTTATGGCACAGAATTTTAAAGAAAAAGAAAATATATTTCAACGCTACAATCAATTCTATTCTCCAAATGGCATGTGGCCATTAAAGGGTTGAAATGGGCACATTATGACGGATATCAAAACTATTAAGAATTGAATGCTTACACACATAAATATATAAAATCATAAAAAAAAAAAAAAAAAAGCTGCCGCACATTATATACATCGTGGCTTAGGACATAATGTTCAAAATTATTAAAAGTGTTATAGTATATAATGTCAAGAGTTCTTACAGCTTTTCAAGTAAATAAAATGTAATTTTAATTAAAAAAAAAACATTTAGAGAAAATATATTATTTTTAGAAGTCAATAATTTTGCAGCTGTTTTTACCTGACATATAAAAGGAACAGGCATTTTAGAAGCAATCAAATGAGTCGGGCTTTATGATAAAGTTGTTATATACAATACCAAGATCTAAAGCAAATTATATTTAAGCTGGAATATCATTGTATTTAAAATTGTCATTCTATTCTCCTACTTAAGAATAAAAAAAGAAAATCGGTTTCAATTGACAGATTCTATTTAATACCGTCTACCATTTTCTCCAAGAATAAACACATAGCTGCAAAATGTTTTAAATGTGATAATAAAGCTACCATTCATCAATATATCTCTTTATGCTAACAATTCCTTGCATTGAATAGTGGGATTTTTTTTTTTCGCCAGTTAATTATCTTAGAAAAGATACAAAAGAAGACATTTTGGGGTTTAAAATTCCAGATGTTTTTTTTTCCTCCAGAAAAAATTTTTTACAAATTTACAAATTTTGCAGCTAGCAATGTTACCAAATATTACCCTGATTTAAAACAATTTCTAAAATTAACAACTTTATCTTCTGTTTTATTTTGTCTGATTTTCAAAATTAAATAAAAACTACACAAGTAAGATAAAGATCTCTATATGATAAAACATCTATGCACTTATTGAATTGAAAAAATACATTACAATATTCTTTTCCTGAATATTTTAGCCATATTTAAACATAAAAGAGTACTTTTATTTATTTATTTTACTTACAAGTTTTTATAAATAATAATTCCAATTGTTTATTATATGTATTGGTTTTATATACATAATAGGCCAAAAGTTTTAGGCCACCCTCTGGATTTTGAAGAATCACCTAAAAATCGAAGGTTTCCTGCCTTTTTCAAAACTAATTTATTAAACTCACAGAGGGACTTTCTCTTCCTGAAGGATTTGATCATATATTTAACATTTAGCACTCTGCATCATTTATAAATATTACTTCCCTTTTTACTGTATATGGAATCTCTCAAAATATATATATATATATATATATATATATTTTAAATTGCAGTAGCCTGGCTTTCAATTTCAGTCAAAATTGTTTTAGGTGTCATCATAGAAGGTTATGACTACACAACTAAGAAATTTAAATTCAACTTGCATTGGCAGGACTAACATTTTGCTTGGCAAAAATAGTCATCTCCAGACTGGTAAAGGAAAATTTACCAATTGCTGCATAAGGCTTCCTTAAAATTTTAACTCTTTTTTTTTTTTTTTTTTTTAACTAATCTACCTTGTAATAGTAATTGTAGAGTTAGCAGATTTTTAATTTTAGGTAACCGCCTCTTTAAAAACTTTGACTTAAACAGTTTCTGCATCCTAGCTTAGTAGGCATTAACTAAACCAAAAAGGTATGAAACTATTAAATTCAGAGGGTAGCCCAAAATGTTTAGTCTATCATGTATGTATACATTATACACAGTTTAGTCTATCATAATGTATACATTATAACCATATTAGCTGACTGCATGCTACAGGAGAAAGTTCTTGTAGATTCTGTATTATACAATTAATGTTAATTGGGG